TTCTCCTGCCAGTCCGGAGTCCATGACAGGTGGGAAGGCCCAACAGGTGGGAGAATGGCATGCCCGGGCTTTTGGGCTGATCCAGCTGGGATATTGCAACCTTTGGAGCCCCAGGGTTCACGGAGCAATTTCAAGTCTCACAGAAGTCTGAAACCTGTTGTCAGGATGTATACCCTCCCCCAAGGCTTATGGGTATATAGTGCTTCTCTTCCACCTGGTTGGTGTAGTGTAGTGGGAATGCAAACTGTAATCTGGGAGTGGTTAGGAGTGCGGACTCTTACCTGGGAGAACCGGGTTTGATTCCCCACTCTGCATGCAGTTGCTGGTGTGACCCTGGGTCAGTCACAAGTTCTTTCAGAGCTGTTCTCTCAAGAGGAGTTCTCAGTCATAGCTTCCTCAGCCCCACCTACCTCACAGGGTGTCTGTTGTGGGGAGGGGAAGGGCAAGGAGATTGTAAGCCACTCTGAGACTCCTTTGGGTCATGAAGGGCGATTTATAAATCCAATCTCTTCTCTTCTTCTTCTACCAGTCCCACACTTTACTAAAAGTCATTACAAATTTTCTTGAGCGTAAAGAAGACAAGGTTTCACAAACCTGGGAACAAGGATACATGAAGCAGAATTCAAAGAAGCAAACAAAATAGGAACTTGAGGTTAACATTCATCCTTCCAATTTTGTCTCCCTTGCAGGCAGTGAAAAGGTGTCGTCGAGCCATCGTATTTGCAGAGGAGTGAAAACAGCTGCTCCACCTCTGGTCCAGGTAGGGGGGAAGACGGGGGAATAGTCCGTCCCCCCTCCTTTCTCAAGGAGGCTTTTGGTCCTGCTGACCGAGGAGAGACAGGCTCTGAACCCCATTCTTCTTACATATGCCCAACTCTTCATCCTGCACCCTCCCCGAATGCCCCCGTGGAGAGCGTAGTCTCTGCCCGGACTGATCTCTGACGAGGGAATCCGCTTTTCCTTCCAGCCTCCCTTTTCCTTTGAGGAGGTGGCCGTGTATTTCACCGAGGCCGACTCCCGGCCAAAGAGCTCTCTACCGGGAAGTCATGCTGGAGAACTATGGGAGCGTGGCCTCTCTGGGTAAGGATCTTTCATAGGTGCCGAAGGTGCGAATTGCTGCCATTGTGATGAGGCATGAATCAAAACATTGAAAAGCAACTTATGGTTGGGAGCAGGGGTCATTTCGTAGAAAAAGAGGTGCAGGGGCTCATTAGCATAATTTATTGGCATAACTTATTTGCATATGCCACCACCACCACTGACAGCACCGGAAGTGTGTCAGAAGGCAACACCCACCGCTCAGGCTCCACTGGACTGTTCTGGATTGCTAGCTATTGGGGGGGGGGAATGCGCAGATCTGCTCTCACAGAAGAGGGAGAGCTTGTACCTGAAGGCGGACCAGGGGGCGGGGCTTGTTGCATGTGCCCGCCCCCTGGACTTCTTACTGCCAGAGCTCCGCTCCTGTGTGCTCCCGCAGGAAATGACCCCTGGTTGGGAGGATGTCCCAGTTACCGCCCCTTCCTGCTGGGGGCCTAAAGGAGGTGGGGGTGGAAACGGTTCATGGTCGGTGTTGTGGGCGTCACCCAAGCCAGAGAGGGCTGTCCTGGCCTGAGGCCAAGGCGGGGATGAGAAGCCTTCAGAAAGACTCTGGAAATGGTCCGATCCCAGTTTCTCAGTTGCCAACTTTTACAACATGTGCGTCCCCGAGATGAGACTATGGCCATCCGCTCTGACTCCTGATCTGCAGAGGATCCATCAGCCCTACAATGGTTAGGCTTTGATCCTGACCATGTTTCCCTCTTCCTTGGATTTCTTTGCTTCCCCATATAAGAATGATCACTTTCTCTCTGTCTCTGCCAAATAAGCCAGGAATGTAACAGAGGCTATGGTGGAGACAGACAAAGGCCTTGTGTCCAACAAATGGCTGGAGAATTTCTCAGGAAGATCTCAAGAGTCCATTTCCTTCCCAAATGAACCGGCTGCAAGTGGGTATCCTTCATGGTTATGTCAAGGGAACGGGCGAGGAATAGCCATGGGACCTTTCCTCTTCACTTCTAAGCGACTCTTGTTTTAGTGAAATTATATCAAGTCCACCGTATAAGGAGGGAGGGAGGCCTTCTGGGGCCTGGGATCGGGAGGCTTGGAAGCGCCTGCTGGGGCTAAGCTCAGCTGTGGCTCTTGAGCGGCTGCACTATCCTTAAATTCCGGCTGTTCCAGGAAAAGGGGAGGGGGTGTTACCTAAGAACAGCCCTGCTGGAAGAGGCCAAAGGCACATCAAACCATTCCTACAGCGGTCCCCTTGATGCCTTCAGGCCATACTATTGGGTGGAGATGGGCTTGAGTGCTTTCTTTGGCGCTGTTCTACCTTGGGGAATCAGTCTTCACCCCAAGAGGGTGGGATCGCGCCCTGTTGAAGAGATTCCCACTGAAACTGTCGGCTCACTAAACAGAGAGTCAGGTTGTCAGTTGGCGCGCAGTTTGTTTGAGCCACAACAGGATAGAGAAAGCACTGTAGCCACCTTCCATCTCCCCAAGAGACAAGCGACCAACTTGTTCCCAAAGGTTAAGTCCCTTCCAGCCCCTTGTGGCAGGAAAGCATCTGCCACAGAAAAACACAGACAGACACTGAAAAGCCAGGTATACCTGTCCAATCAGCACATCTTGATGCCCAGGTTTCTTCAAGGCCGACTGGCACCATCTCCCTCTGTCTCCAGGGAAGAGGGCTGAGAATGACAACAACCCTCTGCTGCTCTAAGGGTCTGCAAGACTGACTTCTCCACAGTTACATTACATCACCCTGGTCATGCTGGACACGTGTATATCTGTGTGTTCCCTGCGTGTTTCAGGTGTTTTGAGAGGATGGAGCAGGACAGACTCTTCTGGGGTCTTATCTGGACTTTTTGGCACTGCGTGTTCCTCCGGGACGGGCTTCTAGAGGGCCTTACTCTACTGGAAAAAGTTAATGACCTTGAGGCCCAATAACCAGTCTTCTGAAAATAAGATACACTTCTTCCTGAAAATAAGATACACTTCTTTCTAGAGAGACAGGCTTGCCTCTGTGCTTCTAGGAAAGGCAGAAATGCCTGGATGATTCAGAAATGGTTGCACATTTGACAATAGACAGCCTGGCTAAGATGGAGAGAATGGCTCAGAAATAGCAAGGAAATGGCTCTGAACTTGAGAAAGGTGGCCCTACACTGCAGGGTTTTCTCATCAGTCATTACCTGCCCCTCTAAGAACTGGCACCTTTTCCAACAACCATGGGGGTCCCTTTCGAACTGTGGGGTTCACTTGATGAACTCCTGGCTCCCCCCCCCCCGGAAAACATGTATTTTGGGGAGGCTGAAAACCAGCTCCTCCTGGCTCTGTTCACAACTGGAAGGAAACTCTCAGTGCAGTTGCAGGACTGGATATCTTGATAATTTCTTGTATTTAATTGTCAAGTGCAGAGAATCAAAAGCTGCATGGCAAGTCAAATGGGAATAGCGGGGGAATCCTTCCTTGCCAGTTATTTAAAAAGTACATACGGGAGTTTGGGGAGTTTGGGGAGAGGAGGGATAGGCAGAATATAAAAACAGCTCTGTGGGAGGGCCTGGCAGGGATAAAGTGTGACCAGCAGCTCAGTTTGGGAGGAAAGAAGATCTGATAGTAGAAATGCACACCCATTCATGAGCAGTGCCTGACAAGTGGCTTGGCTTCTTTCATAGGTGCTGATTGAAACTTTTTCTTTATTCCAGCAGCACATGTAGAGGAGACAGCTGGGGAATTCCAGGGATTCTCTTTGGAAAAAACCAAGAATGAAGATGCTGAAAGACACTTCAGAGATCGACCACAGAGGCAAGAGGGAAGCAACACAGGTAAGAGGCAGGATAAGCCCTTTTCTTGCCATGGTGGGGGATTTCTGTGAAATCACAGTCCAAGAAGAAAGGCCAAACAAAAACAGAAGGAACAAAGGCCTCCATCCTAACTGGAGAGTCCACTCCAGGGAAAATGAAAGGGTGGCCTTTGCAAAGATCTCCAGTCAGAGAATGAACGTTGTTTTGCAGACTCAAATTCCCTTAGGAGAGAAACCGTATAATTGCTTGCAGTGCGGAAAAAGCTTAAGTTGGAAAAGAGCCCTTAATTCACATCAAAGAAGTCACACAGGTGGGGAGCCATAGACATGGCCAGAGTCCAAACCAAGCATCTCTCATGCATGAGGCTTAAAGTTCTTTTAATGTGTATATTATTGTACACTTCAGTGTACAGCAGGAAGAATTCCCTGAAATATTTGGAGTGTGGATGGAAATTCAAGTGCAGATCAGACCTCCTTGCATGTGTTCTAACAGGATCTCCCTCTTTATTCCAGCAGGAGAGGATCAGAAGAATGAGGATGAGGAATTGCATCAGCTATTGCTAGATGAAATCAAGAATGAAAACTTGAGAGGAAACTTCAGAAATCAAGTTGGACCTAAGGGAGAGAAAAGAAGCTGCATGGTCAAGAAGAGGGATAAACCCACTCCTTGCCAAGGGGAGGATTTCCAAGAAGTAATTCACAGGGTGAAGGAAACATACAAGTGCTTGGCATGTGGAATGGACTTCTCAGATCAATCCCAATATAATGTCCACTTACAAATGCACAGTGGAAAGAAGACCCATCAATGGCTGGAGTTTGGAAAGACCGTGATTTGCAGAACAGAGCTCCTTAGACATCAAAGAACGCATACAGGAAAGAAACCTTACAGTTGCTCAGACTGTGGCAAGAGATTCTCAGAGAAATCGAACCTTGGTCGACATAAAAGGATTTGCTCAGGAGAGAAGCTATTTATTTGCTCAGAGACTGGAACGGCTTTCTCTGCAGGAGGAAAAGGTGATATACATTTTCCAAAGCACAATATAATGAATGCGTGTAAATACCTGTGCAGAAAGTACTTCAGATACAGATCACAGATCCTTGTGCACCAAAGAATCCACAGCAGGGGGAAGCCTTTTGAATGCTCAGAGTGTGGGAAAAGATTCAGTCACAGTAGCACTCTTCAAAAACATCTAAGAACCCACACAGGGGAGAAGCCTTTTGAATGCTCACAGTGTGGGAAGAGATTCAGTCAGAGTGGCATTCTTCACAATCATCTAAGAACCCACACAGGGGAGAAGCCTTTTGAGTGTTCAGAGTGTGGGAAGAGATTTAGTCGGAGTGGCTATCTTCAAAATCATCTAAGAACCCACACAGGGGAGAAGCCTTTTGAATGCTTAGAGTGTGGGAAGGGATTCAGTCACAGTGGTAGTCTTCAAAATCATCAAAGTACCCACACAGGGGAAAAACTTTTTGAATGCTCAGAGTGTGGGAAGAGATTCAGTAATAGTGGCCACCTTCAAAGGCATCAAAGAATTCACACAGGGGAGAAGCCTTTTGAATGCTTAGAGTGTGGGAAGGGATTCAATCAGAATGGCACTCTTCAAAATCATCTAAGAACCCACACAGGGGAGAAGCCTTTTGAATGCTTAGAGTGTGGGAAGAAATTCAGTCACAGAGGCAATTTTCAGCTGCATCAAAGAACCCACACGGGTGAGAAACCTTTTGAATGCTCAGAGTGTGGGAAGAGATTCAGTCACAATAGCCATCTTCAAAAACATCTAAGAAGCCACACAGGGGAGAAGCCTTTTGAGTGCTCAGAGTGTGGGAAGAGATTTAGTCAGAGTGGTGCTCGTCAAAATCATCTAAGAACCCACACAGGGGAGAAGCCTTTTGAATGCTCAGAGTGTGGGAAGAGATTCAGTCAGAATGGCGCACTTCAAAATCACCTAAGAACCCACACAGGGGAGAAGCCTTTTGAATGCTCAGAGTGTAGAAGGAGATTCCGTCAGTGTGGCCAGCTTCAAAAGCATCTCAGACTCCATACAAGGAAAAGCCATGCAACTGTTTAGCGCAGAGGTGTCAAAATAATTTTTTACGAGGGCCAGACCTGACATAAATGTCACTTTGTCGTGCTGAGCTATGTGTGCCATAAAATGTGATGCCAGATACCAGAGATATAAACTTCAGAAGGGGCACAGGCAAACCCAATTAACAATATTATTTTTTACTCAAAATACAAATATGCTTAAAACATTAAGAGTATTTCCTGTATTTAACACTCTTTGATAACTGACACCTCTTGCTCTGTATTATTGTATCAAAAGCTGGAGTCAATGTTTCTGTTTTAGCAAACTTGAGTATGCTGTTTAGGTGTGTATCTGTAAGTTGAGAATGTTCTTTTAATTTATGGGCATTTATTATAGAAAATAGCTATTCACAGACATACGTTGTTCCAAACACTGACAGGATTTTAGAAGCAAAAGCCTTAAAGGAGGGGGTGATTTGGACCCCAAACCTGGTAAAATTTTCTAATGCCAACTTCAGAAAGATTATCCTTCAATATAGCATCACACCGCTCCCCCACCTACCTGCTATTTGTGGCATCCTTTCATTGGTAGGTGGGGAGAAGAAAGAAAGGGGGCTGTTAAGCAAAGAAAAAGATGAAGGGAATCCTGAGGGTGGGTGAAATTGTCATAGCATGTCCAAGACTTTGTTCCATGGGGCACCTGCTTTAAGTAGTAACATAAGATTCCCCTTAAAATGATGTAAATTGAGTTTATCTGTACCCCATCTAACTTCTTCACCCAAAGAGTGATTAACACATGGAATTCACTGCCACAGGAGGTGGTGGCGGCTACAAGCATGGACGGAGTCAAGAGGGAATTGGATAAACATATGGAGCAGAGGTCCATCAGTGGTTATTAGCCACAAGGTATAGTTAGGAACTCTCGGTCTGGGACAAGGGATGTTCTGTATTCTTGGTGCTTGGTGGGGGGGAGTGGGAGGGCTTCTAGTGTCCTGGCCCCACTGCTGGACCTCCTGATGGCCCCTGGTATTTTTGGCCACTGTGTGACAGAGTGTTGGGCTGGATGGGCCATTGGCCTGATCCAACATTGGCTTCTCTTATGTTCTTATGTTGCCCAACAGGAACTCAAAGTGGCTTAAGGTATTTTATGAGGTTGAGAGAATGCAATGGGCCCAAGGTCACAATCAAGTTTCCTGGGAGAATGGCATTTGAACCTGGGTCTCCCAGATCCTAGCCTTGTGCTTCTAACTGCTATCCCACCCTGGCTGTCACTATAAATGGTGTCACATAAGAATGAATCCAAAGACAGTCTGAGCCTGGATGAAAAAAGATTCAGGTTTATCATTGATACTGAACAACAAGAGCTCCAAACAATTACTGACGGTTCTGAAGACTACCATGGAACTGAGAGGAGAGGCAAACTGCTCAGGCTGGTCTCCAAAAAAAAGCATGCTTGCTGCTCGATTTTAAGTTCCCCTTGGAGATGGCAATAGCAAGTCATGCCTCTGGCTGAAACAAGGTGGTGGAACCAAGGCTGCTGAGTCACTGGGTCAGCCTTTAGAACTAGGCATTAGCAAGAGGGCTTGGAGCCAAGCTTGACAGAGAATCGGTTCTGACCCTTGGAACCGAAGCAGCCCCAATAGAATGAGTCGGAAAATGAAGCTCAGCAGGCCTGAAGTGTACTCTTGTCCCAGAACACAACTACCCAGAAGCTCCACCCCCTTCAGCAGCTCTCCAAAACTTCAGGGGCTGAAGAGGTCCAAACAACCCCAACTGAAAGGCACGATATTGCAAGTGTATGTTAACCCACACCTCCAAGGGCCCACAAACTCCACCACTAAGGAGAAAAGCAGCCCCTCTTCTTTGCACCCCCTGTTTTTACAAACTCTGAACTCAGAATCTTTCAAGAAGAGCAGACCCTTACTGCTAGGAATGATGCTTAATTGAGAGATCTCGTGGCAGGACAGCACATTTTTTTCACACCGCGATCCCTACATCTTCAGCACTCTCCAAATTAGGTCATGGGGCATTGCATTCTTGCTGGATCCAGGAGGAAGGCCAAAGGAGTGCTGAAGATGTCACTTTTATTTATGACCCAGCTTACACCCATTCAATATACACCCAAAGTCAGTCTCCCTGCAGAAATGGGGAGGCTAACACTTTCCCTTATGGCAGTTTAAATACATGTCCTTTATACAGATGGCAGCAGCGCCCAAGCCTTAGGAATAAAGCATGCATATTCTGCTGGATATGCTTATATTAAGGGTGTCTTTCTCACACAGAGGAATTTGTTTTACTGGAAAAATTTCCAGCACCAGATGTTGCAGCCCAGCATGCTGAAGTGTCGAAAGTTCTAGAAATGGCAGGCACCCTTGTAGCAATCTATACAGATAGGCACTATATTTATAGGGTTCTTCTTTCTGATCTTACGTTTTGGAAGCAGTATGACTTCTGTGATTCCAGGGGCAAGCCAATGTAAGCCAAACAGATCTGGGAATGATGAGCTGACCTCTACGAGAGAAAGCAACTTTATATTTATCCCGTAAAAGCACATCAAACTCGGGGTCTTCGTGCCCCTCGGAATTCTGCTGCCAATGCAGCTACAAAGGAAGCAAGACAACAATCTGTTGTATATGTGGTGAACAGGTCATATACCTTTTTGAATTATGATTTACAGGCATGCTTAGACACCAGCAAGCCAAACCCCAAGTGTGATCCTCAAACTTACACCTGTGCCTTAAAGGATGGTTGGAGTCAGCACAAGAGAAGCCATGCTGGATCAGGCCAGTGGCCCATCCAGTCCAACACTCTGTGTCACACAGTGGCCAAAATTTAGGTGCCATCAAGAGATCCACCATCGGGGCCAGAACTCCAAAAGCCCTTCCACTGTCACCGCCCCCCGAAGCATCAAGAATACAGAGCATCACTGCCCCAGACATAGTCCCCTTTTCTCCCCAAAGCTGGAGACGAGACCATACTTCCCTGCTCTATGTGTCGTTCTCTTATCAAAGAGGCTTATGAAGGATTGTTTCCTCCACCTGGGATGCAAAGGCACAGTCCTTGTGCTCCAGAGTAAATATTGGTGGCCCAGTCTGGCTAAACATGTTGCCCACTATGTGGCTAACTGCAAATCAAGCTTGTTGGTAAATCCCTCAAACATAGCCAAACCCTCACCCAGGCTCCTTTCCCAAGGACACTCAACCTTTTGAGATTCCTTACATGGATCACATGGGGCCGCTGCCTCCAGCACATGGCTATAAATGTTGTCTAGTCATTGTCTAAGTCTGTCCAAATTTACATGGTTCATTGTCCAAAAGGAGTTGACAGCTATGGCTTTGGTCATGGCTTTAATGCCTTATATCGGTATCCACGGACTGCAGACAGTCCACACAGACAGGGGTCCCAGTTTTGCTTCAGCAGAATTTATGGCAGTTGCTGGTCTGATGAACTTCATGGTGTAACAGCTGTCCATTTCTTGCACAATCTAATGGATTACTGAAATATTAGATATTGGTGATAAAGCAAGACCTCTCTAAAAACTTACTGTCAACTACCCTCTTCTGCTTTAAAGTCCTTCCTTTTGTGCAGAGAAATATTAGTAATATGGTAAAGGGCCCACTGTGAAAGACTCCTCATGAACTACTTGGATCCAGATGCCCACTAAATTGGAGAAGATGTTCTAGCTCATCTACAAGCTACCGATAACTCCGTACATGATTCTTGCTTTAGAATCATGTACAGAGTTATTGGTACCAGAAGGTCACAGCACCAGCAGAGTCCTGAAGCCTCCTGGGAGATAGACCCAAAGATTCAACTATAGAGGTTAATTTACTGTAGAAGTTAAAGTATCATAGGTTGAACAGAGGACAATCCAGGTCCTAATTCCATGACCGTGTCTCAAATTACAATCTCTGACTGAGTTTCCTCCACAGAAATCTCCTCCAGCTGGACCCCCCTGTGGGAGATTACGTTCTGGAACAGTACGTCCTGCCTCTCTCAGGCCAACATACAGGGAGCCAGTACTGATTCAGTCAGTCCCATCTGGTGGAATAACGGAACTTCCACCTTTATATCATAGTTCTGAAAATCAGTTGATAACATCAAACCAGGTTTCAAATGTTATGCTCCTACAGAGCAGAAATCCTCTCCTCTTGTCTTCCCCTTAGAAGGAGACAGCAACTGAACTGACGAGGTTAACCACTACACCTCCTGATAGTAATTTTTCTGGCAGTGCTCTGCCCGACACATTGGTAGAGCCAACTCATGTAAATTTTGTTTTTATACATGCTTGGAAAATCCACGTAACTAATCGGTTTCTATTTTATTCTTCTACCTCGTTTAATATTTTTTCCCTTCCTCTTGTTCGTCGTTGTTTTTTTTTTAAAAAAATATCCTTCTTCTAACAAGGGTGCAGTTCCTCCCCTCTGCTTTCCTGCATGCAGATTCCAGCCTGGTTAGGCAAGGCCTGCCAAGTTCAGCTCTTCCCAGAACTAAAAGGGATTTACGATCAAATGTCAACCTGATCTATTCCACTTTTCCTAGTGGTTTGCTGTCTCACCTTTTTGCTTTAGATTCTACATTTTGAGACATTCCTGTAATTTTTGTACATGATACACAAACGCTATTTCCTCCTGATATTTTTCATCAAAATATCCCTGCAGCACAGGCAGCAGCTGAGAGAATAGCTGGAATTTTTACTCCTAGTCCGTCCCTGACCTCCCTCACTGCCTTGCTCAAGACACCTGTCTTCTCATTTCTCTGGTAGGCTCAGACCTGCTATATGGATTTTGGCTATTTATATGTAGTTACATTAGAGACAGCCACACCATATCCTGTCCACATCCACTAGAAGCACTGTGTGGTGTAGTGGTTAAGAGCAGCAGACTCTAATCTGGAGAACTGGGTTTGATTCCTCACTCCTCCTCCACATGAAGCCTGGTGGGTGATGTTGGGCCAGTCACAGTTCTCTCAGAACTCTCTCAGCTTCACCTACCTCATAAGAACATAGGAGAAGCCATGTTCTCTCAGAACTCTCTCAGCTTCACCTACCTCTTAAGAACATAAGAGAAGCCATGTTGGAGCAGGCCAATGGCCCATGCAGTCCAAACACACTATGTCACACAGTGGTCAAAA